ATGGAAAATGCACAGAAAGAAACTGAAAATCTCAGCGAATATCAGGAACTGACTTCCACTTAGGGAAACAGTGGGCCAGATTATGGGCGTTGTTTGTCCCTCTCTGCAGACTCTTGGCGCCAGGACACACGGTCATTTCGCGTTTGAACACATCTCCACCTTCTAAGTTGGTTCCTCTTCCCCATGCCTGGCCCGAGGCTCTGAGATGCGCTACCTGACACTAACGGTGAAGGCAGGGAAGAGTGAGGCTGCACACAGGGAGGCTCCCCGGCTCTCCCCGCTGGCACAGGATATTTATTGCTCTTGGTCTCTTGACATTTTTACGATGTTGTGACTCACACTTTATAGCTGTTTTCTCTGGCTATTCTTCCCTGTTGCATTTCCTCAGCTGTCACAGATGCCAGGCAGGTTAGCCCTTCAGACCAGGAGCGGGTGACCGCCTCTCCCTGTCATCTGCAGAGCATCCCTGCCCCGCGCCTTGTGCTTCAGCTGTCTGGAAACAGAAGTCAGAGGAGAGGAGCAGGCAGCATAAAAAGTTTCCTGAACCTTTCCTCACATAATGACTAGGAGGTGAGGAGCGCTTCCTCTTTCCTTTAGCATTTCTGGCTGTTAAAACAGCCATAAAGAAGACCTATAAAACGAATGGGATAAATGTTAAATGATGCACCTGGTCTCCACCATCATAAATTAACGTGGCCGGATTAACAGTCTCCCCTTTCCTGATAGAGGTCCCTGTTAAATCTCCTTGTGATGGGGCTCTGGTGGCGCTGGACTTCATTTGCAACTGGCGAAGCAACCAAAGCACTCTGGCATTTAGTTCTTAAATATGCCTCTTCATCAGAAGGCGGGTGGACTGCCTCTTCCTCCTTGACCCCAAATGGGATGAGCTCGTTTATTCTGAAACCACATTCAGGTTTGCACTTGGACTGTGGCTTTGGGTAAATTGAACAGATTGGGCTTCTTGCTTTGAACCTTATAAGCTCTATTCTCCGGGCCTTAAATCCTCACAGTGGAGACTTGTATGCAGTGAGCATGGTCATCCCATTACCAGAAGTGTGAAATCTGAACTGGGAATATTCTGCACCCAGAGGGACCAACCATTTGGGTGGGGGTGCTGGAGAGCCTCCTAACACCTGGGGCTTTCAGTGCTGAGACCGGAAAAGACCCAGAATGCCCAAAGGTGCTGGGCACCCTGCAAACCCTCCCTCTGTATTGTCTCTGACGAGGGTGCCCACCCTTTCCTCTCCCAAGTAGGCAAGTAGAGATGAAAGGGCGTCGGAGAACACATTTCAGTCTTATTTTAAGACTTCAGTCTTATTTTAAAAATGCTGAGAACCTACTTCAGGCAAATTTGTACAAGGGACAAAAAAGGAGGAACGGCCTCTGCTAACACCTCATTCTGTCCCGTTAATTTCCATCTCCATTTTTTACTTCTGATTCTCTTTTTCAGCTTATTTCTTTCAACAATCACTTACTGAGTGGTGCTCTCTGGGGTCTGTGGTAGTGCAGGGCCTGTTAGCCACATAGATTCAACTTTATCTATCTATCTATCTATCTATCTATCTATCTATCTATCTATCATCTATCTATCATCTATCTATCTATCTATTATCTATCTATCTATCTATCTATCATCTATCTATCTATCATCTATCTACCTAGCTATCTGCCTATCTATTCTATCCTGTAATCTTTATCTCTTGTTCTCTGTGTGTACTATGTATACATTTTCAACCTATGTATCAATTCATGCAGATGTGTCTCAATTTACAACGGGATTACATTTCAATAAATGTGTCATAAGTTGAAAATATCACGAGCCACACCTACTGAACATCACAGCCTGGCCACACACCACACTGTAGATTTTCCATGGTTGTTTACACTCGTGAACATGAGGTTGACTGGGAGCTGTGGCTTTCTGCAGTTGCTGAACGTTGCTACAGCATTGTCCCACACGTAGCTAGCCCTGGAAAATATCAAAATTCAAATTTGAAGTACAGTTTCTACTTGATGTGCATTGTTTTCACACTATCATTGGTTGAAAAATCATCAAGTTAAACCATCGTAATTTTTTTTCTTTTTTTCAAATTTTTTTTATTTTAAAAATAAAAGGAGGAAAATATTAACAGACAGTCGACATTTTACAAAATAGCAAAGGAACAGTACAGAGAGTACAGAGTTACAAACAGAGTGGTAGGGAATTAACAATGCTTGTTGTATTACATATTAATAGCTTCAAAGTAGTTTCTCATGAAAACAGATATAGACATACAAAGCTGATCAACCAAGGACTCATTGACAGTTTCTTTAAGCAAAGAAATACAAGACAGTAGAACAGCCATGTTAACTATCCTGCATATACATACATACA